TTTTGAGAAGCAGCTCAAGAGTGCAAAAAGCAGAAGCCTAGAGGGGTAAGGCTGATAGCACATCCACAGAATGGCGTGGACAGGAAGGCTCGTTATATTGCATAGAAAACTGTGTTGTAATAGAATCTCTGCATGCCTGTTTGGGGACTGGACACTGACCTGTTTACTCACAGTTTGAGGGATGCTGGCTGATGAGGATCCAGATTACTCTGAGTATTAGGGATGTTTCCACTAGCAGTAGATCAGCTTGGTGACAAAAACTTTTAAAAAGCCTTTCACATTTTACATCAGTACTTAATTTTCCCAATGGGGGCTGCCATGGATGTGAACACAATAAGCAATGGATATGTGGAATAAAGTGGTGTCTGCCTGAGCGTAAGGGTTGGAGCTCATATTTTAGATTCCACTAAAACCCATGACCAGAAACGTGGGCTCAGAGGGGCACTAATTAGTGACCTTGTGAAGCCACAGGTTAGTAGTGAACAGCAGGAAACAACCCATTTATCCGCTCCCCTTAGCGCACAGGATAAGCATGCAATTACTGACCGTGCATGTTTGACAGTGTCTGTGAAGAGCGGAGCCTCGGTGACTGCCGCTGAGCTTTATGAGCTCTCTGATGCCGCAGGCTTAGTGTGTTACAGCCTGTGGCACAGGTAGCCTAGCCAGCTAGCACGAGAAGAGCCAGATGAGCAGCGATGCCTCTGCCTGCTTCTCTTCTGTGTCCCACAGCTGCAGCCTATGACAAGCGAATTGCACTCTGGGATATTGGGATTCCAGACTCTGACTACAACTTCAAAGCAAGGTAAAGGTTCAAAAACCCAATGGGGCCAGGCCAGGAGCCTGTAACTATCACGTCGCAGCACCATTTAACTGTTTGTTCTCTGTTTTGTTGGTTTGGGGTTTTTTTTCAGCCAGCTGCTGGTGCTGGAAGGGGGCTCTGTTCCCTTACGGATTGCCCTGGTCCCCACCTGCCCGGATCAGTACCTGCTGGCTGGCTGTGAGGGCGGCTGCTTTGCCTGGAATATAAACCTGGATAAGGAACAAAAAAGCAGGTGAGAACCAAAAGTTGAGGGTGTGCATTTGCTTTCCATAACAAGAAGAGGTAGCCCTAGCAAAGGCTCTGTTTCTAACTGAGGAGGTCTGAGCAAGAAAAGAAGCACATCCTACCAAACTTAAAACATACTCCCACAGTGGAAAGAAAAAATGCTAGGATAATGCTAGAGGAGTGCTCCAAGCTAGCAGCCCTCAGCCTGTATTGACGCTCCAGTCTACAAGTGTTGCCACACCGCTTTGAAGGAAGGCCGACAGGAGTGTAATGCAGTACGCTGAAGCTCAGGGGCGTGTGATCTGGAGGCAGTGTAAGGGAGTGTAAATTCTGGGATCGAGTTCCAGTCACACAGCAAAGCCTGCTCCGCTTCTGGTATGTGAGGTTACCCAGGAAACTGGCTCTCTGTAGGAGCACAGAAAAAAATTACAACAAAGGAGTGAAGCCATGCCCTGCTGCCATATACTAATCCTGATGCCTACAAAAAAGTTCAAGTGGGAATTCATGCGAGTTTGGCAAGAGACTCACTAACGAACATGTGAATTTCCTTCTGGGTTCTGCACCTGATGCCCTTCCACTGCTGCCCATTCAGGAGGGGACTCATTTCACCCTTCCCCTGCTCTAGGCCTTTTGATGCCGTATTCCAGTTTCCTGATGAGGATGGAGGCATGACAACATCTCACAGGGTTGACGGTTTGGCTTTTCTGAATGATGATGTCGTCGGTGAGTATAAACGGTCAGGCACCCCAGCGTGTGGCTGGCCAAGGCCAGCATGATGAGCAGAGGGTCTGAATGGGGTGTGACTCCCTCTTCCTCAGATTTCTGGGGGCTACATGGAATAGTGGTGTCCCAGAGTCACTTCTTATTTCCTAAAACATGGGCTAGAGGTGTGAGCCCGTGCCTTAGCAGGACTGGAAATCGGATGGCCCCACGCCCGAGAGCACGCTCGGCCGAGCAGTGCCAACATGGAAGGAGAGCCCCTTTCTGCTCCAGGGCTGGGGGCAGCAGTATGATTTTGCAGGGGAATTGGGGATTCCTACATTTGGGAGAGAGCCTAAAGCATGGGCTGGATCTTTCTGAAAAGCTGATGATTGTTCAGCAGTTCAGGAACATAACCGTGGGACTGAAAAATCCCTCTGCAGCCTCTAATTATCCTGAAATAAGGTAAAGGAGGTGGAAAGAGTTGCTGCTAGTATCAGGTCCCATGTCTTAAAAGCTCACCAGATGCCAGCCTTTTCCTTGAGGCACTTCACTTCTCAGCCACTGGCATAGCCTCTCCCCCCTTTCTTCCCTAGTTTCCAAGAGCTCTAAACCAGGATGCATGTATTTATGGAGCTGGAGTCGGTCTTTCGACGGGAAGGGGAAGGGATGCCAGCGAACGCTATCTGCAGTTATCCTAGCTGAGCTCGAGTGGTCCACGACAGACCTGTCCTACCTGACGCTCAGCACCTGCCCAGGTAGGCAGCCCCCGCCTCGGGCGAGCAGCCCGGCTGTCCAGTCCCTGCAGCAGAGATGGCCGGGATTCCCACTGAGCTGCGTGCCTCCCCTCTCACCCGTCACAGCAGCCCTGGATTTCAGTCCCCATCCATGCGAGCGCGTCTGCCTCCTCTCTGCAAGCAGTAGGAGCCCTCAGCTCCCTACGCTGCAGCTCCAGCACCGTGCAGCCGCAGCCCAGCACCAGCTGTATGTCACTAAGTAACACATAAATGCAGCTATACTGTCTGCCATGGAACAGAGCTCACGGCGTTACTCCAGCTGCACAACGCCAACAGTCTTACTCGTGCAGCTCTTCAAAGCACAGAGCTGATGGCTCGGCCCCGTAGCTTTTCTAGAGCCCTTTCAATGCCTACTGCACCCGAAGTAAGGGGTAGAATTCCACACACAGGGCAGCTGCTTTTGAGGCTAACAAGGAATAAACCTGATGTGATTGCTGCTTTCAAAACCAAAATGTCTGAAAAAGTTAGAAGAAATGCCAAAACATGTATCACTAGCTTTTCTGTACTACAGCAAGATAGCCGATTTAGCTTCAAATTCATTTCTTTTTTTCAGAGCAAAGTAGATTAGTATGTTGTGCTGGGAATAGAATTCTGCTGCAATACGACATCCTCCCAGGGATCCTACAGCACTGTCATGAGCTCTGGTTTATCAAGGAGCGGCCTCCCAGCTCCACACTTGTTTTCCAGCTCCTTCTTTTGGTCTTACAGCAAAAGACTACGTGTTCTGCGGGGACGAGAAGGGAAGCGTGTGGATGTACAACCTCTCCAACTACACCACAGCCTGGAGCTCCCCAAAGGGAAGACGCTCCGACAAGAGGATCCCTCCCACACAGGTAGGTCCCATCTACCCTTTGGGGCAGGGCTGGGCCTCCCCTCCTCCCCGGTGCAGCTGACCCGAGTCTCCTGAGCAGATTTACACCAGAACGTGCCTGGTGTTACCTCTGCCTAACACACACAAGCCATTAAAAGCAACCTCCAGAGCGTGACTGAGGCCATCTTTCAAACCTCACACAAACACAACTGTGACAGGAAAAGCAAGTCTGTTTGCTCCTGCAGTTCTGCAGCTTGGCAACTTCTCCTGGCAGAAAAGCTTAAAAAAAAAAAAAAATCCAGAAAAGTAAATAACTAGTGGTTGGAGAGCCTGGCAATACAGGCACACAGACACCCTTTGCGCAATGGGGTGAGGGGAGGGAAGCCAGCACAGCTGTTCCCTGGCAGAACGGCACCCAGCAAAGGGCTCACTGCTCCTGTGTGCTCATGCCATCATTTTTTTTCGCTTGGTATTTCCCTGGCTGGCGGCGATAGGCCTCGGGGCAGTGCCTGCTCACTTGCACGATGGCGGCTCTCACTCCAGAGCGTGGTGAGCCATCATTGCATCGCGGTATGATGTGACCTCATGTTCTGTAAGCTTTCTGCAAGCGTATTGCCCAAGCCAACCCTCGGTTCCAGCTGCTTTCCCTTGTTCCTTTCTGACCAAGTCCCTCCACGTTAAACCCTGGTCCCTCAGGAGAACTGTCATAAAGCTGCACCACCTCCCTCCGAAGGGGGAAGAACCTTTTCACTCAGCTTCCCCAGGCTGGCAGGGGAGTGGATTCCACAGAAACCAAATCATCAAAGCAGGCCATGCAGTAATTAATAACCTCCCCCCATCAGAGACGATACCACGGCTCCTTCCTGACCCAAACTCTGTTCTCGTAGATTCTCAACTGGCCAGAGCTTCAGGCGAATGGGGAGCAGCTGACTGAAGTCCTAATAAACAATGTGGTGTCAGACCCTACCTTTACTTACCTTGTTGTTCTAACTAGTGTGAACATAACAGCAATTTGGAAGAAGTCATAGTTCCTTGTAACAGAGTTTCATTCCCATGCTTTGAAATAGTGCAATATTAGTGACTGTTACCCATGTAACCATGAAGTTTTCTAGACCAGCTATTACGTGCAAGAGGAAAAAGAAAAGACAAAAAAAAGGGTACGAGTTTGTTAAACTCATCGAGTCATTGTAAACATCTGGTTTCTTTTACTGTAAGTTTTCACAATTTGTGCATTTGTTTTATAGAAATGACACTTAATAAAACAAAATACCAGATCGGTCGGCAGTGTCTAGAGTTTTTGAAAAGGAAAAGCAGATTGTTCCCTGCCACTCCGCACCCTCTCATTCTGGACGTACACTCACAATAAACTCGCCAACAGCCCAAATATTTGCCTTAAGGCTCCATTTAGAAAAGTAGAAATCATTTTAATGACTTATCCACCAAATCAAACAGGACGTTTATCCTCTTGGCAAAGTGCCTGTCAGGTATAAAACAAACCCCCTCAAATTACAGCTGCTGCTGTCAAAAATTAAACACTAGTCGGACAAGGGGGAAAATATTTGCCATGAATGGAGGTTTAAATACAGCCTTCAACTACGAGCCGCATCGCTCTGCCTCAGCAGTTCAGTCCGCTCTAAGTGGGGTGAGTTCACTCTATTCCTTCTTGTTTGTCTTTGATAGCAACCTGTAAAACACAAACAAAAATACACCTGCTAAGGCAAGGACTGTTCCTGCGCTGGAGGGGGTCAGGTGAAACATTTGTAAGACTTCTGTGAAACGCAAGAACAACCACAAAGTATCAGTGGACATCTCTACGCCGTCCAGAAAATAACACTTGACATCAAAACAATTTACAAACTTAGCACGCTGCTACCTTTTACCAGCACATCACAAAACACTGCGCAGCCTGTATCCCATTCATGGCCCCCCACAGGTTCTTCTGAATAACCTTTCGCACTGATTAAGTCTCAAAAATCAAGGGCCAAATAAATACAATTGCACAGCTGAGCAGAAGCAATGAGAAAAAGAAAAATACTGCCCCAGAGTTGTGGCAGGGAGGGCTGCGAGGATGATGAGGGGACTGGAGCATCTCTCCTACGAGGAGAGGCTGAGAGAGCTGGGCTTGTTCAGCCTGAAGGAGAGAAGGCTGAGAGGGGACCTTATCAATGCTGATAAAGATCTGCAGGGTGGGTGTCAGGAGGATGGGGCCAGACTCTTTTCAGTGGTGCCCAGCGACAGGACAAGGGGCAATGGGCACAAACTGAAGCAGAGGAAGCTCCAGCTGAACATGAGGAAGAACTTCTTCCCTCTGAGGGTGACGGAGCCCTGGCCCAGGCTGCCGAGGGAGGTTGTGGAGTCTCCGTCTCTGGAGATATTCCAGACCCGCCTGGACAAGGTCCTGTGCAGCCTGCTCTGGGTGACCCTGCTTGGGCAGGGGGTTGGACTGGGTGACCCACAGAGGTCCCTTCCAACCCCGAACATTCTGTGATTCTGTGAATAGAAAAATGTTTTCTGTACCAATAAGGCTGTGAAAAAAACAGTGCCGGCCACCTGGGGAATTACAGAGCACCCACTGAACCCTTGCTGGGCATGCAGATAATCCCTGGGAGCAGCCACGCCCTGACAGGAGCGGAGTAACACGATGCTGCACGGTTTTAATCAATTTATTGGCCTAAAGTAGCAGCCCTAAGACATGCTACCCCTCTCTTTCTTCAGCTTTCAATGGCAAGAAGCTCAAGTTAAAGAAAAAAGAAACCCCGTTACCCTGAACCTCTCCTCCAGGAGGGAGAGCTCGCTGATCAGGTCCGTGATGGCATTGGTGAAAGCTTCCTGCGGGCTGTAATCGGGGGTGGTTTGGACCCGGATGATAATTTTGTGTTCCAGCGGGTGCGGGACCTTGTAGCCTGCAAATAACACCTGGGGGTCTTTTAGTAACTGCCTGGAAGGGAAGAGCAGCAGTGAACAACCACGCAGCACGCTTTTTATATTAGAAAAGTAATTAAAAAGCAGTGTTTCTAACGGGCTTTCCCAACACATTCAAACAGGGCGCCACGAATGTGTTTGTGCAGGCTGTTCCCTCCTTTTTAAAGCCAGAATTGCTTTGCCCTACAACATCCACCACAGCTTTCCGAGGGGCAAAACTAAAAGCCCCCAAATCCCCGAAAATTTACACACCCCCCTCCCCTTAGCTCACGACTTGATGATGTTCCCCAGCGTGTGGTCCTCCTTGTTGATGGTGAACAGGCAGGCGTTGGGCACCTTCGTGTCCTTGTTGATGGTGATCCTGAGCGGGGAGAGACCGGCCGTTACCTCAGGGAGCAGCTCCCTCCGATCGGTGCAGGCCGAGAGGCCGCGGGGGGTCCGGGGGGGACC